GGGGGGGACAGGAATGTTGGTGCTGGCAGTGGAGGGGTGGGTGATGGTGACGGACGGAGGGGTGTGGCTCGGTCAACTGTCAAGGGCTCTGAAGAGAGTGAGAGGGGCTGCGCGCTTTCCATGGGTTGAGAGGGGGGGCCCTGCCGTCCCCTTGCACCCCTGCGATTATAGACGAGCGCTCCCCTGTCGCCCCGTCGCATGTGTGCGCACACGCACATGGGCCTGGGTGGGCACCTCCGCATCAGGGGACCCTGCCCCCCCCCCGCCCGCGCCCCAATAGACAAGTCTTCCCCCTGCGCGTACCGCCTGATGGGGCTGGTGAAGTGAGTGTAGATGGGTGAGGCCAGGCCGTAGTGGTGGTACTCCGCCGGGGCCACGTCACCGCTGCCAAAGTAGGCGGCCTGGGGGTTGTGGGGAGGGGTGGGGTGGGTGGTGAGGAAGGCACGCTGAATACATAGGCATGCAGCAAAGGAGGGAGGTGGGGGGCCGGCCGTTGAGCGCAGCGGTTCATTGGTGGACGCATGGTCAGTGGGTTTGTGTACAACCGTGTGCGTGAGTGTGTGTGTGTGTGCATGTGTGTGTGTGTATGAGTGTGTGTGTGTGTGTGTGTGTGTGTGTGTGTGTGTGTGTGTGTGTGCATTTGTGTGCACACGCGCGCACGCGCGCCCCGTGTGTGTCCGTGTGTACAAGCGCACGCGCGGGTGTGCATGCGCGTGCAGGCGCACATGTAAGCGAATGTGCTGGCTTTGTCGCGTCCCAGCCCACCCCCCCCCCCACCTGCGTCATGCACCGCGTGGCCATGATCCTGACCAGCTTGTTGAAGTATGAGTCATCCCCCCTCACGGCGCCGTCCAGGCTGTCCGCCAGCGCCCGGCTGCTGGACACGTCCAGGGAGAAGCCCGCGGCGGCCGCGGCGCGCAGCAGCGGCTCAAACATGCGCGGCTCCGGCGTCTGGTGGCGGCGCAGCAGGCTGCGAGGGTGGGGGGGGGCAGGGAGGAGGGTGGGGCGCGGCAGGCAGGTGACGAGGGGGCGGGGTGACGCGTGGGTAGGGGGATGAAGGTGAGTGAATGGCGTTGATAAACACCATGCAGGCACAGATTGAGGAAGCCAGGCGCTCGGCTCATAGGGCAGGCACGCGAGCGGGCCCGCAGCGGCGG